CAGATGCAAGCTGCATGTGGAGAGCGTGCACATGTGTGTGTGTGTGTGTGTGTGTGTGTGTGTGTGTGTGTGTGTGTCAGAGAGTAAGGAAAGGGAGGAGGAGGGAGAAGGGCACTCAGAGGATTCCAGATTTTTCTGAAGTCTCTTTCCACACCTTACTCCAGGACAATGTGGCATAGCCCCCTGTCCCATGAAGAAAGCCATCGCCACCTCCCTGGGTGTTCTGAATCCAACTTTCAGTCACCGGCTAGAGGAAGGGGTGAGGAAGAACACTGGCCCAGGTCTCCTACTCTATGGCCCACGGTGAACCAGTGAAGACTTCAACACACAAGAAGCACAGTCAGGCATTCGGTGCCAGTTCACTGATGTCAGATGGAATGTTCTAGAAAAAAACATGAATTTAGACCCAGACAGTGAAGGGCTTGAATGCCAGTTCTCCTGCTTCCTAGTTATGTGACCTTGGGCAAATCACCACTTGAGCTATGCGTGCCTCATTTTCTTCATGTGTAAAACAGGGGAAACGTTGCATCCAAGCATCATCGGGAGAAATTAAGTGGGATGAAGACCCTTGTGCCTAACTGCTTTTTTCTCATCCTGGATCCTGCCACCAGTCCCAGTGGCTTCCTGTGCTCAGGTTACCATGGCACCCGAGCCGATCCTGGCGTACTGATTTTAATTGTGGATTTGGAAGAGTCAGAGAGATACCCACATGAAGAGGTCATTGTGGAAAGCAAAGCCTGCTTTCCAAGAAGCGGCCTCTCCCTTGGAGATGATGGCCTTGGGCACCCCAGGCATTTGGGATAAAAGCAGCCATTGGTGGGGAGGGGGTGTGCATGACATCCCATAGCAGAAGAGTAGGTGCTGCACCCTGGATAGACGTCTTGGAGAAAACACGTGCCCTTCCAGTTGAAGCAAGGCAGGAAGTCAGGTGAGGAAAGGGCAGATGGGGCCTGGGCTGCAAGGAGAGAGGCTAAGCCTCCTGGGTGCCTCTCCTGGCCTGCAGAACTGCCAGGGATTCAGAGATCCTATTACCTTCTTTCTCTGGCTTCTTTTCCCTGCCTGGTGCAACTGGACACCCCAGTTCTGGGAATGTAGATCCCTCACCCAGGATACTGATGGTACCCACTCACTGCCCACGCCTGCACCCCAAGCTCACTGGCAGGCAGGAATGAAAGCCCTGTACTTGCCTGGTGACCCTCTTTGCCCTTCAGAACTGGCCCCCACACATCTAAAGGGGTTCAGGTTTGACTGTGCTCAGTGGCTCAGCCTGTCATCCCAGCACTTTGGGAGACGGAGGTGAGTGGATTGCCTGAGCCCGCAGGCTCGAGGCCAGCCCAGGCAACTTGGTGAGACTTCGTCTCTACAATAAAATTTTTAAAAATTAGCTGGGAAGCCGGGCCCGGTGGCTCAGCCTGTAATCCCACGCTTTGGGAGGCTGAGGTGAGTGAATTGCCTAAGCCCATGGGTCCTAGGCAACTTGGCGAGACCTCATCTCTACAATAAATCAAAAAAATTAGCCGGGTTTGGTAGCATGCGCCTGTAGTTCCAGCTACTTGGAAGGCTGAGGCGGAAGGATCGCTGGAGCCTAGCAGGTTGAGGCTGCGGTGGCCGGGAGCGGCCACTGCACCCCAGTCTGGGCGACAGAGTGAGACTCCAACTCAAAAAAAAAAAAAAAAAGTACACCTAAAGTATAGACCTCTCACCTGAGTTTCAGACTCTACTTAGATTCTGAAAAATAGCTCAAACTTACCTTTTCTAACAAGGAGTGTTTGATTTCCCTGCTCCTATCTGTTTTTCCCCATCTTAGAAAATAACACAACTGCCGAGCATAGTGTCACAGGCCTGTAATCCCAGCACTTTGGGAGGCTGAGGTAGGAGGATTGCTTGAGCCCAGGAGTTCGAGACCGGCCTGTGCAACATAGTGAGAACTTCTCTGTACAAAAAATTAGCCTGATATGATGGTGTACACCTGTAGTCCCAACTACTTAGGATGTTGACGTGGAAGGACTACCCAAGTCTTGCCACCACACTTCAGCCTGGGTAACAGAGTAAGACCCTCAGCTCAAAATAAAGAAAGAAAGAAAAGAAAGAAAGAAAAGAAAATGGCATCACCATCTACCCATATTTTTCAAGCCCAAAGTGTGAGATTTATTGATGCTTCACGTGCCTTTTCTTCCTGTCCCTCATCTGTAACATCATATCTGCCTTCAAAGTGTTTCTAATTTTTCTACTTCTCCCTCTCCCTCTCCCTCCCCCTTTCTTCTTTTGTTCCTCCTGCCAACATCTTGGTCTAATCTATCATCATCTATTGCCTGTACTGTTATCCTATAATCTATTTTCTTTAGAGAAACCATTGTGATCATTTAGAAAACCAAAAGTCATGTCACTCTCTTGCTAAAACCCTCAAGTGGCCTCCCTTTATACATATGTTGAAATCTTAACTCCTTGGCCTGGCTTACAACAAACCCTTACACTCTTTTTTTTCTTTCTTTTTTTTGAGTCTTGATCTCATGCTGTTCAGACTGGAGTGTAGTGGCACCTCATGACTCATCATAGTCTTGACTTCCTGGGCTCAGGTGTTCCTTCTGTCTCAGCCCCCTGAGTATCTGGGACTACTGGCACACACCACCACACCCAGCTGATTTTTTCATTTTTTGGTAGAGACGAGATCTTGCTATGTTGTCCAGGCTGGTCTCAAACTCCTAGACTCAAACAGTCCTCCTACCTCGGCCTTCCAAGTAGAGGATTACAGGCGTGAAATCCTGTACCACAGCCATCCAAGCCCTTACACTTTCTTTTTTTTTTTAAATAAAAATGTGGGTACAGTTCAGGATTAGGTATACAAGTGGTCATCATACAGGTAGCCCTTACACTTTCTGACCTCTGCATTCCTTTCTTGCCTCATGTCATGCCAACCTCTGCCAGCCTCACTACATTTCAGGCACAGGCTTTCTGTTTGTTTGTTTGTTTGTTTGTTTGTTTGTTTGTTTGTTTGTTTGAATTGGAGTCTCACTCTGTCACCCAGTCTAGTGTGCAGTGGCCGCTCCCGGCCACTGCAGCCTCGACCAGCTGGGCTCCGGCGATCCTTTCGCCCCAGTCTTCCAAGTAACTGGAACTACAGGCGCGTGCTACCACGCCTGGCTGATTTTTTGATTTTTTATTGTAGAGATGAGGTCTCTCCAAGTTGCCCAGGCGGGTCTTGAACCCGCGGGCTCAGGCAATCCACTCACCTCGGCCTCGCAAAGCACGAGATTACAGGCTGAGCCACCGAACCTGGCCAGGCTTTCTGTTTGTTCTTTCAGCATAGTGAATGCTTTCATTTTCCTGGGCTTTGCTGCCTTCTTCCCTTAGTCTGGAATGTTCTTCCTGTAGCTTTTCACATAACTAGTTTCTGTTCATCATCTAAGCCTCAGTTGAAAAGTGACTTCTGCCAGGCTTGGTGGCTCAGCCTGTAATCCCACGCCTTGGGAGGATGAGATGAGTGGATTGCCTGAGCCCACGGGTTTGAGACCTGCCTGGGCAACTTGGCAAGACCTCATCTCTACAATAAATCAAAAATCAGCCGGGCGTGGTAGCACGCGCCTGTAGTTCCAGCTACTTGGAAGGCTGAGGCGGAAGGATCGCCGGAGCCCAGCAGGTAGAGGCTGCAGTGACTGGGAGCGGCCGCTGCACTCCAGTCTGGGTGGCAGAGTGAGACTCCAACTCAAAAAAAAAAAAAGTGACTTCCACAAAGCCATTTTTTTTTTTTAAGTCATAGTCTCACTTTGTCGTCCAAGCTGTAGTGCAGTGGCATGCTCACGGCCACTGTAGCCTTGATCTGCTGGACTTAGGCAATCCTTCCACCTCAACCTCCCAAGTAGCTTTGCGCCAGTACAGGAGTGTGCCACCACGCCTGGCTGATTTATTTATTTATTATAGAAATGAGTTCTCGCCATGTTGCCAAGGCTGGTCTCAAACATGTGAGCTCAGGCCATCCCTCTTGCCTCCACCTCCCAAAGTCCTGGGATTACAGGCGTGAGCCACTGGGCCCAGCCCACAGAGCCTTTTTAAAGTTGAAGTTTAAACTTAAAGTTACCCTCTCCCACCTGGCTTTCACCAACTACTCACTCCTGATCATATATTCCTGTTTTATTTCCTTTCCTTGATAAATATTTGTTGAGTGAATGAATTGGTTTGATTTTCTTCATGCTGTAAGATCCTTGAGAGCAGTGACTATTTTTTTTTTAGCACTGTGCCCCTATTCCTAGTGTGATGTTTTATCACATTACAGACAACTTAATTTTTTTTTTTTTGAGTCAGAGTCTCACTTTGTTGCCCAGATTGGAGTGCAGTAGCACACTCATGGTCACTGTAACCTTGCTCAACCTGCTTGGCTCCGACGATCCTTCTGCCTCAGCCTTCCAGGTAGCTGGAACCACAGGATGCACCACCATACCCGGAAATGAGGTCTCGCCATATTGTTGCCCAGGCTGGTCTCGAACCTATGGTCTCAGGCAGTCCTCTTGCCTCTGCCTTCCAAAGTGCTGGGATTACAGGCATGAGCCACTGTGCTCAGCCAGACAACTTAATATTTTGAAGTTAGGTTTATTGCTGGGTGCCATGGCGTGCACCTATGGCCCTAGCTACCTGGGAGCCTGAGGTAGGAGGATCATCTGAGCCCCAGGAGTTCAAAATTGTGGTATGCTATGTTCGTGCCTCTGAATAGCCACTGCACTCCAGCCTGGGCAGCATATATATGTATGTAAAGTTGGGTTTATTGAGGTATCTTTTTATATGTAGTAAAAGTCACCCTTTTTAATTGAACAGTTCAGTGAATTTTGACAAATGTGTACAGTTGTATAAATAATACCACAGTGAGTTATAAAAATAATAAATGTTTTCCTTTTAATAAGTGAATCACTTACATGAGTATAGTCAGTAATCAGCTATCAGTATCTGCTTTGTGGACTCTGCCAACTGATCAGCCTAGCTGTTATTAACATAGCTCATCTGTCATGCAGGTGAACGGGAGGTTGGAACAGAGGGGAAAATGCTGCTGTTGGCCCGGGAAGATAAGAAACTTCAGTGCTTGGGACTACAGAGCAGGCAGCCGGCAAGTGGTTCCTATATGACCTTTGAACTCTGAGGCAGCCGGGTTACTCTGATTCTTGGAAATGTTTCTCCTTGCTCCCTGTGTTCACATTTTGAGAATGCTGCATGGGTGAGAGGCAGTATAGCATAGTGTGGAATTTGTTAATAAGGGCAACATTCAAATCTCAACTCTTTCACTTAATGGCAAGACATTGGACAAGTTATTTAACCTCTCTGAAGCCTCAGTTTCCTCATCACTAAACTGGACATAATAGGACTTAAACCTCATAGGGTTATGTGATGAGAATTAAATGCTCAACTGCTTTGTAACCTTTGTTAATTAGCTTTCCCTCTCTGAACCTTAGTGTACTATGTGTAAAATAATGAAGTTGCATAACTTTTCTTTATGGGTCCTTCTACTTCGAAGGTAATATGAAGAAATTCTGAGTCAAGGACTCATGCAGTCAAGGTTTTTAATCCAATTAATGATCAGAACTATTAATTGAATTTTCTTCCTACATCCTCTGAAGTTGTGCTGGGCAGACTGTGCTCTTCTAAATTCTGTCTTCCCTCAGATTAGATGTTTCCTATTATCATCATCCAGACAATTTTATGATTTGGTTTAGCCACAGGGTTTGTTATTTTCATTTCTTCCTTGTTACTCAGTTGTGATGGTGTTATTTCCATTTTCAAAGTTTGTTTCATGACATCATCATTTTTATGACTATGCCCTTTGCATTCAAGTTTTCATGCTGCCTTTTTTTTTTTTTGAGTCAGGATCTCACTCTATTGCCAAAGCTGGAGTGCAGTGGCACAACCACTGTTCACCACAGGCTTAATCTTCTGGACTCAGACAATCCTTTTGCTTTAGCCTCCTGAGTTGCTGGGACTGCAGGAAATTTTTTTTTTTTTTTTTTTTTGAGTTGGAGTCTCACTCTGTCGCCCAGACTGTAGTGCAGTGGCCGCTCACTCCCAGCCACCGCAGCCTCGACCTGCTGGGCTCCGGCGATCCTTCCGCCTCAGCCTTCCGAGTAGCCGGAATTACAGGAATGCACTACCATGCCCAGCTGATTTTTTGGTTTATTGTAGAGATGCGGTCTCGCTGCCCAGGCGGGTCTCGAACCCGCGGGCTCAGGCAGTCCACTCACCTCAGCCTCCGAAAGGCGCGGGATTACAGGCTGAGCCACCGAGCCCGGCTAATTTTTTATTTTTTAGTAGAGACAGGGTCTCTCTATGTTGCCCAGGCTGGTCTCAAACTCCTGGGCTCAAGCAATCCTCCCACCTCGGCCTCCCAATGTGCTGGGATTACAGGCGTGAGCCACCATGCCCAGCCCTATGCCGGCTTTTGCTTCCAAAGGAAAGTCAGGGATTTTTTTTTTCTTTTTTCTTTTTAGAACATCTGGAGGAGAGATGATCATTTTGAGCTAACAATAAGTAATAAGTGAAAACCTAATAATTTCTTTTTTCAGATGCATGAACTGTGACTCTTTATATTGCCACTTTATTTAAGCTTGTTTCTTTTCCTACAAAGTACCTCCCTTCAAAAGATTGCTGATAGCTACATGAAGCAAAACTTAAATGTGAGAATTGTAATGTTTCTCAAATGGAGGGTTGTCATGAAGAAAAGGGAAAAGAAGGAATTTGGGTGGTGAGGATCCTATGAGGCAATGTTTTGAGGCGTAATAGTTGGAAAACTGCTGCCTCAGCATATGGTATTACATAAACTACTCAAGTCCTCAGCCAACCTCAGATTCCTAAAATCTCAGTTACTGGTGAATGCATAATTTACTGTTTGTGAAGGATTAAAGGGGGAAGAAAATATCTCTAAAAATAGCGAAAATTTCCCTCTTTTGGTGCCTATTTATTCCTGAAAACAAATTACTCTTTAAACAGCATTTTGCTTCTTACTTGTTCCCAGATATTCCAGTTTATTGGCTCAGATGCCTTCAACTGCTGTACTTTTCTTTCTGGCTTCTTGCTATTGGCTGGGACTCAAGATGGAAACATTTATCAGCTGGATGTGAGGAGTCCAAGGTGAGTCACCATTCATTTGTATGATGCAGGTCTTCTACAGGGTGTTTATTGTTGGCTTTAACATTGATTGAGCTTAGCATATAGATGACTGTTGAAACAAGGGTAGGGCCGGGCGTGGTGGCTCACAGCTATAGTCCCAGCACTTTGGGAGGCCAAGGTGAGAGGATTACCTGAGCCCACGGGTGAGACCAGCCTGGGGAACTTGGCGAGACCTCATATCTACAATAAATTAAAAAGTTAGCTGGTGGCTGGGTGCGGTGGCTCAAGCCTGTAATCCCAGCACTTTGGGAGGCCAAGGTGAGAGAATTGTCTGAGACCAGTCCAGGCAACTTGGCGAGACCTCCTCTCTACAGTAAATCAAAAAATTAGCCGGTCATGGTAGCGTGCACCTGTAGTTCCGGCTACTTGGAAGGCTGAGGTGGAAGGATCGCCGGAGCCCAGCAGGTCGAGGCTGCAGTGGCCAGGAGCGTGCCACTGCACTCCAGTCTGGGTGACAGAGTGAGACTCCAACTTAAAAAAAAAAAATGACTTATGTAAAACCGGCCTTACCCTAGTCTTCAGGATATCCAAAGATGATCATACTCTGTTGCAGGATTTAACTGTTTCTATGATTCTGTCCCTTTCTCCTTTGATTTGCTCCCTTTCTCCAACGAATATTTATTGAATGGCTTCTATAGGCACCACGGCACTGAAAAACAGAAATAAAAGCTACAGACTCTGCCTTTGAGGCACTTGGAGTCTAATGATAAAGATGGGCAAACAGAAGGCTATTGGGATGTGTGTGATCGCTGGTCTAACAGGGTCTGACAGGGCTTGAGGAAGCACCAAAAAGAGGGAAGAAAGTGAGACTGTTTCTCCAAGAAAATGAGAGGCATTGGATTTTGTTGGGTAGGCAGTTAGCAAGTAAAGAAGGGAAGGCCCTGGCCTGATAGAATTGCATGTACAGAAGCATGAAGGCCTGTGAAAGAGTGTTACTTTCAAGGGACTCTGAGTAATTAATATGACAGGTATGTATCCTGTAGATGAGGGCAGCAGTAAAAAGTGACAGACAGGAAAATGGAGCCTGCTTAGTCTTTATCTTCCATTCAAAGGATTTTGGGCTTTATTCTGAGGGCATTGAAGAATTTCTAGTAGATGATGACTAGCTTATACCTTTTCTTCCATTGTTGAAGTTACTTTATTTTTGCTCTCTTTTTTTTTGCCTCCATGGAAATCAGGAGTCTCTTATCATTATTATAAAATCACCCTTATATACCTAGTAAATTGATTCTCTCACCTCTCTCTTTAGTGTCCTGGTAATTTCAACATTTTATAATTTGTCTTAATTCAGTTTTTTGTTTGTTTTGTTTTTGAGTTGGAGTCTCACTGTGTCACCCAGGCTGGAGTGCAGTGGCACTCATGGCCACCCCAGCGTCGACCTGCTGGGCTCCGGTGATCCTTCTGCCTCAGCCTTCCAAGTAGCTGGAACTACAGATGCGCACTACCACGCCCAGCTAATTTTGACAAAGTCTTGCCAAGTTGCCTGGGCTGTTCTCGAACCTGTGGGCTCAGGCAATCCATTCACCTTGGCCTCCCAAAGTGCTGGGATTACAGGCTGAGCCACCAATCCCAGCCTTAATTCAGTTTTTAAATAAAAAAATTAACATATTGTTAACCTCGTTATCTTCAACCCGTGTCAGACCTTCCCTAAAAACTCAAGATTTCGGTGGTGACTTAGTTCATGTTTGGAGACACATTTAGGTGGTTTTGAATAAATTACCTTGATCTGCTATTTAAGGATCTTGCCAGGAAAGAAACCATATGAATGAATGTTTAGTCTTTCTCCATGTTTCTCCTATTTGCTTTTATGTGGTTAGTACTATATGTTGAATATAGTCAAGCACTACCTTAGAAGAAAAAAAGTAAAATTATTCCTTTTACTCTGAATCCTAGGGCTCCAGTACAAGTCATCCACAGATCAGGAGCACCAGTTCTATCCCTGCTGAGTTTCAAAGATGGATTCATTGCTAGCCAAGGTGGGTCCATAGGCCAGTTGAGAGAGATGTTTCCCTGTAGTTCAGTTAATTAAACATACATTTTAGTGCTTGATCTATGGGTGAGTTGGGGCATGGGTCTCCACAAGTTTTTGGCATATCATGCTTCTCAGTAGTGTTTATCATCCTACATTGTGATTGTCTCTGTCCCCCTCCAGTCCAGGCTTCTTGGGAGTAGTTATTGTGACTTATTCATCATGATATTCCCAACATTTAGCTCAGTGCCCACTGTCTCTCTGCCCTAAATGACTCAGAGTTAGTAGGGCAGACAGGCATGGGAACATGTGAGTGCAGTCCAGTTTGATAAATACTGCGGCAGAGGACTACAGGAGAACACGGAGCATAACTAATTCTAGAGGTAGGAGTGCTCTCATTGAGGTCTTCATGGACTAGGTGACATGTAAACTTAAGAAAATTTCACCAGCTGGAGAGGTAACGATGGACATTGAAGACTGAAACTATAGTGTGAGCAAAGTCATAGGGGAGAGAAGGGGTAAAATGAAGGAAACTAGCATTTACTGAGTACCTGCTGTGTAGTAGGTACTGTGTTTATTGCTTTACATACGTATTCTAGGTAAAATGAATGCTTTGGTGTAGCCACGAAACTCAAAATATTTGGAAAGGAGTTCAGGAGTGGGGTTGGGGAAATACACAAAACAAAGTACATTAAAGGGTACCACAAATCCTCATAGATATGATGTAGGTGAGGAGGACTGGACTGTATGACCTGGAGTGACCACTTAGCTTGAATATTTCAGTGTATCAGTTAGGATGCTTTTGGCTGTTCACAGAACACCCAACTGAAGATAGCTTAAACAGTTAGGAAAGTGTACTGCTTCACTTAACAAGAAGTCCAGATGTATGGTGGTGTCAGATGATATTAACTTAGTGATTTGAAAACAAAATCAACAGAGGAGATTAAGGAAACTTGCCAACTAAGAAAGACTAGTGAAATCCAAATAAAGTGTGGAGTTTAGTTAATCATAGTGTGCCAATATTGGTATCCTAGTTTTGACAAATGTAAGATGATAACATTTGGGAAGAACTGAAATTGACTAAAGGACATATGGGAACTTATCTTTAACTTTTATGTAACCTGAAATTACTCTAAAATATAAAGTTTGTGGGTTTATTTTTTTTAAATAAAAAAACCAAAGCATTAGCAGGGAAAAGGAAACAGATAAAGAACACAGCTTCTTTTCATCTTTCAACTGTCTCCCTAGCATGCTGGCTTTGTCTTCAGGTTTATCTGTGGGTCTAATTTTCTGGCTTTCTCACTTGCTCTTTCTCAATCTCTCTTTCTCCCCTGTGCCTTGGCACCAGTGTGGTGATGCAGTAGTGCCCTCTTTCAGAACCTTGATAAGAGAAGAGCTAGCATACTCTTATGGCACCTTCACTTGTTGCTGCTGCCACCACTCATTGGGATCCTTTTTGTTTGATTTCTCCCTTGCTGCCAGATTGCTGGGATGAGAGTTTTGCTGCCATGCCACACTCTTCCCTTGAAAACTCTCTACATTTTGCCTTTATCCCTGTCCTGGTCCTACTGCTCTCTTAAAGACCACCAATGATGTACTTCTTGCTAGATCCAGTGGCATTTTCTGTATCTCATCCACCGATCTCTGAGTTTCCTTGCGCAAGGTATCATGTCTTCTTTATCTCCATATCTCTAGCTCTTACAATGAACTGAAGAATCTGAATGAATGAGTAAAGATTCTTCATCTTTTATCACTCTTAATGGTTATAAATTTTATCACTATTAATTCCTTCTTAAAACTCTTCTCTCCTTTGACTTCTGCGATTCTGTATAATTTCCTTTTTTGAGAGAAAAGGAAAGAAACTTAATAGTAGATGTCACTTTTCCTTGCTGAGTGAGGTAATAACAATGAGACACTGACAGATTATGACTAGTATCCCATTCTGGCTTAAAGTGAGATTTTTTTTTGAGACGAGGAATGTGTTCTTCAAGCCTAGAACCATATTGCAGCAGATGAGAAGCTGATATTGTCTAAGTGGCATCTCTGAAGTAACAGCTTAATATTCCTGAGAACCAGCAGGTGGGCTACTCAGGGCCTCGGCATTTCTTCCCTCCCTTGTCCTACTTTTAGGCCACTTCGTTGATTAGCATCTCAGCTAAAAGGTAATATGAGAGTAAGATAAGGGGTAACAGGTGAAGAGCTAGCTCGTGGCTCTTTTACTTTTTGTAGCTCTTTTATGCTTGGAAGAAGGCAAGGCATAACTTCTAACTAGTATCTGAAGGTAAAGAGAGTAAAATTATAACTCTGTTTTCAGAGGACAAAACTAACACCAATAAGAGAAAGCTATCAGAAACCACATTTCGGCCGGGCTCGGTGGCTCAGCCTGTAATTCCGAGCTTTGGGAGGCTGAGGGGAGTAAATTGCCTGAGCCCACGGGTTCAAGACCCGCTTGAGCAACTTGGCGAAACCTTGTCTCTACAGTAAATCAAAAAAAAAATTAGCCGGGCGTGGTAGCACGTACCTGTGGTTCCAGCTCCTTGGAAGGCTGAGGCAGAAGGATCGCCGGAGCCCAGCAGGTCGAGGCTGCGGTGGCTGGGAGCGTGTCCCTGTCCTCCAGTCTGGGTCGCAGGGCGAGACTTCGACTCAAAAAAAAAAAAAAAAGAAACCACATTTCAGGCGGGTGCTGTGGTTTACACCTATAATGCTAGCACTTTGGGAGGCTGAGGCAGGAGGATAACTTGAGCCCAGGAGTTGAAGACAAGCCTGGGCAACATAGTGAGACCTCATCTCTACAAAAAGTCAAAAAATTAGCTGGTCATGGTGTGTGCACGTAAACCCAGCTACTTGGGAGGCCAAGGATGCCAGGAGGTTGAGGATACTGAATGCCGTGATTGTGCCGCTGCCTTCCAGCCTGGGTAGGTTGAGACCCCTACTCAAAAAAATAAAACAGCTGGGCACGATAGCTCAAGCCTGTAATCCCAGCACTTTGAGAGGCGGAGGTGAGAGGATTGCCTGAACTCAGGGGTTTGAGACCAGCCTGAGCAACATGGCAAGACCTCATCTTTACAATAAATAAAAAAATTAGCCAGACGTGGTGGCACATGCCTGTGGAAGGCTGAGACTGAAGGATCACCTGAGCCCAGCAGGTCGAGGCTGTGGTGGTTGTGAGTGTGCCACTGCACTCCACCCTGGGTGACAGAGTGAGACTCGAACTCAAAATAAAACCCCACATTTCAGTTCATTATAGGGAATCGATTTTTCTTTCATAAGAAAGAAGCTGCCATTGAAGTAGTGAGCAAGTAGCCCTAGCTCTGGAGATGAGCAAGCATAGACTGAGTGGATACTCTGTAAGGTGCTGTCGAGGAAATTCTTTTTTTTTTTTTTTTTTTTGAGTTGGTCTCACACTGGAGTGCAGTGGCCACTCCTCCAAGTAGATGGAACTACAGGTGCGTGCTACCACACCCAGCTAATTTTTGATTTATTGTAGAGATGAGGTCTCACCAAGTTGCCCAGGCGGGTCTCGAACCCACGGGTCAGGCAATCCGCTCACCTCAGCCTCACAAGGCGCGGGGTTACAGACTGAGCCACCGAGCCCGGCTTAGGAAATTCTTTACTGGTGTAAAAGTTGGATATAGAGGAGGCCCTTTGGAACTCGATTATTAAGTGAGGAGATTTAAATTGTCAAATGGAATAGTTTTTAAAAACTTTTTAGTCATATGTTTATGACATATGTTTATGTCAACATACCCAAAAGCAGAGAGAATATAATCTAATAAACCAAGTGTACCCACTATCCTGCTTACACTGTTATCAGTATATGACTAATCTTGTCATCCCCAGTCCTTGCATATTTTGAAACATATCACAAGCATTTTATCTTTTTAAAAAGTTAATTAGTTAATTTTTATTTTTATATATTTAGAGGGCTATAGATACAGATTTTTTTTTTAATGCATGTATTGCGTCATGATCTGGGCTTTTAGTGTCCCCATCATGTGAGTAGTGAACATTGTACCCAGTAGGTAATTTTTCAACCCTCATCTCCCTTCCACCTTTTGTAGTCTCCAATGCCTGTTATTACACTCTATATGTATATGACTACATGTTGGTGTTTTTTTCCCCCTTTTTCTTTTTCTTTTTTTTTTTTTAAGTTGGAGTCTCACTCTGGTGCCCAGGCTGGAGGGCAGTGGCATGCTCCCGGCCACCGCGGCCTCGACTTGCTGGGCTCTGGCAATTCTTCTGCCTTAGCCTTCCAAGTAGCTGGAACTACAGGTACACACCACCATGCCTGGCTAAGTTTTTGATGTATTGTAGAAACAAGATCTTATTAAGTTGTTCAGGCTGGTCTTGAATCCCTGGGCTCAGGTAATCCTCTCACCTCTGCCTCTCAAAGTGCCCAGCTTCTAACCATTGTTTAGCTCTCATTTATAAGTTAGAAAATGTAGTATTTGACTTTCTGAGTTACTTCACTGAGGCTAATGGCCTTCAGTTGCATCTGTATTGCTGCAAAAGACACAATTTCATTCTTTTTTAAGCTGAGTGGTATACATATACCACATTTTCTTTTTTTTGTTTTGTTTTGTTTGTTTTTTGAGTTGGAGTCTCACTCTGCCGCCCAGACTGGAGTGCAGTGGCCGCTCCCGGCCACCACAGCCTCGACCTGCTGGGCTCCGGCGATCCTTCTGCCTCAGCCTTCCAAGTAGCTGGAACTACAGGCGCGCGCTACCATGCCCGGCTAATTTTTGATTTATTGTAGATATGAGGTCTCGCCAAGTTGCCCAGGCGTGTCTCGAGCCCGCGGGCTCAGGCAATCCACTCATCTCAGCCTCCCAAGGCTGAGCCACCGAGCCCGGCTCCACATTTTCTTTATCTAGTCCTCCATTGATGGATATTTAGGTCCATTCCATAATTTTGCTATTGTGAATAGTGCTGTGATAAACATATAAGTGCAGGTATCTTTTTGAAATAATGATTCTTTTCCTTTGAGTAGATACCCTGAAGTAGGATAGCGAAATCAAATTATGGTTCTACTTTTAGTTCTTCAAGAAATCGCCATATTATTTTCCATAAAGGTTGCACTAATTTACATTCCCACGCAAATAAGAGTTCCCTTTTCTCCTCATTCTTGCCAACATCTGTTGTTTTTAGGCTTCTTTTGCCTCAGACTTCCAAGTAGCCAGAACTACAGGTATGCGCTACCACCCCCGGCTAATTTTTGATTTATTGTAGAGACAAGGTCTCGCCAAGTTGCCCGGGCTGGTCTCGAACCCGCGGGCTCAGGCAATCCGCTCGCCTCGGTCTCCCAAAGTGCTGGGATTACAGGCAGAGCCACTGAACCCAGCTTTTTTATAATAGACATTCCAACTAGTATAAAATGGTATCTCATGGTTTTTATTTGCATTTCTCTGATGACAGCATTTTTCATGTTTGTTGGCTGCTTATGTGTCTTTTTTCTTGCGTATTTTTTTTAAGGTGGAGTCTCACTCTGTCGTCTAGGCTGGAATGCAGTGGCACACTCATGGCCACCGCAGCCTCAACCTGCTGGGCTCAGGCGATCCATCTGCCTCAGCCTTCCAAGTAGCTGGATCTATAAGCATGCGCCACCACGCCTGGCTAATTTTTTGATTTATTATAGAGGTGAGATCTCGCCAAGTTGCCCGGGCTGGTCTCAAACCCGTGAGCTCAGGCAGTCCTCTCACCTCGACCTCCCAAGTGATTATAGGTGTGAGCCACCATGCCCAGCCCTGTTTGTCTTCTTTCAAAAAAATGTCTGTTCATGTCCTTGCCCACATTTTTTTTTTTTTTTTTGAGTCAGAGTCTCACTCTGTCACCCAGGCTGGAGTGCAGTGACACACTCATGACCCCTGCAGCCTTGACCTGCTGGACTCAGGCAATCCTTCTGCCTCAGCCTTCCAAGTAGCTGGAACTACAGGCACACACCACCACACCTGGCTGATTTTTTGATTTATTGTAGAGAAGAGATCTTGCCAAGTTGCCCAGGCTAGTCTCAAACCCTGGACTCAGGCAGTCCTCTTGTCTCACCCTCCCAAAGTGCTGGGATTACAGGCTTGAGCCACCACACCTGGCCTCTTTGCCCACCTTTTCAGTGGGGTTGTTTTTTTCTTATTGAATTGAGTTCCTTGTAGATTCTGGATATTAGTTCTTTGTCAGACACATAGTTTACAAATATTTTTTCCCATCTGCAGGTTGTCTGTATACTCTGTCAATTATTTCTTTTGCTGTGCAGAACCATTTTAGTTTAATTGAGTTCCATTTGTGTGTTTTTGTTTTTGTTGTGTTTGCTTTCAAGGACTTGGTCTTAAACTCTTTCCTCAGGCCAATGTTCAGAAGAGTTTTTCCCAGGTTTTCTTCAAGGATTTTTTTTTTTTTCTTCGATTTGGAGTCTCACTCTGTCGCCCTGGAGTGCAGTGGCACACTCCCAGTCACTGCAGCCTCGACTTGCTGGGCTCTGGTGATCCTTCCACCTCAGCCTTCCAAGTAGCTGAAACTACAGACACGCACTACCTAATTTTTTGATTTATTGTAGAGATGAGGTCTCGCCGAATTGCCTGGGCAGGTCTCGAACCCGCAGGTGCAGGCAATCCACTCACCTCAGTCTCCCAAAGTGCTGAGATTACAGGCTGAGCCACCCAGCCCAGTCTCTTCAAGGATTTTTATAGTTTCAGGTCTTATTAGTTCTTTAATCCATCTTGAATTAATTTTTATATATGACGGGAAGTTTGGGCCCAGTTTTATTCTTTTGCAGATGGCTTTTCTATTTTCTCAGTATCACTTATTAAATAGGGTGTTGTTTTTCCGTGTGTATTTTTGACTTTGTCAAAGATCAGTTGGTGTAGGTATGTGGTTTTATTTCTGGGTTCTCTATTCTTTTCCATTGCTCTATGTGTCTATTTTTAACACCAGTACTGTGCTGTTTTGCCTTGTAGCACAACTGGAAGTCGGATAATGTGATGTCACCAGCTTTGTTCTTTTTGCTTAGGATTGCTTTGACTATCTGGGCTCTTTTTTGGTTCCTTATGAATTTTAGGATTGCTTTTTCTAATTCTGTGAAAAATAGTTTTGGTAATTTGATGGGGATTACGTTGACTCTGTAGATTACTTTGGACAGTGTGATCATTTTAAGAATATTGTTTCTTCCATTCCATGAACATGGTATGTTTTTTTCATTTGTGTCATGTACAATTTCTTTCATCAGTGTTTTGTAGTTCTCCTAATAGTAATCTTTTTCCTCCTTTCTGTGTGTGTGTGTGTGTGTGTGTGTGTGTGTGTCTGTACACATATCATAAATGGAATTGCCTTCTTGATTTGGTCCTTGGCTAAATCATTATTGGTGTATAAAAAAAGTTACTAGTTATTTATGTTAATTTTGTTTCCTGAAACTTTACTGAATTTATTTATCAAGTCTAAGAGTTTTTTTGTGGAATCTTTAGGATTCTCCAGAAATAAGATTATATCAGTGAACAGGGATGATTTGACTTTCTTTTTTCCAAATTGGATGGCTTTTATTTTTTTCCCTTACCCAATTGCTGTGGAGAGCACTTCCAGTACTCTGTTGAATAAGAGTGATGAAAATAGGTATCCTCATCTTGTTCCAGTTCTTAGAGGCAATGATTTCAACTTTTCTCCATTAAGTATGATGTTGGCTGTATCACGTGCATATTATTTCATCTGTCAGTATTTCTATTTGTTTTTCTAAAAGATAAGGGTTCTTTTTTGGAAAAGATTATTTTTAATAATAATGTAATTATTTTAATAAAGTATTAGCTCCCATATGTTGATGACTGAAACAGGTTGATTAGCAGATAAATTTGGAAAGCAGTTTTTCAGATTTCCAAAAAGTTTGGAAAGATTAATTGATATCTTTTGACTTATTTTTCCCAGGGCTCAAAGTCATAACCTTAATACAGAAAAACTTTGTGCATAAAGACATTCTTTTATGTAGTATGTTTTCAATCATGTAAAATAAAAATTGACACAAAAAGATTGAAAAAATATATCAAAATGTTAACAGTTGTTATCTTTGAGTGGTAGATTATGGATGGTCTTTTTACCACTTTGCATTTTTAATTTTTAAAGTTTTCTTCAGTTAGCATGTACTACTTTTATATTGACCAAAAAGAATCACTATATTAAGCAGTTTATAGGTCACTGCAAGTTTCATTTCTCCATGCTCTTATTAGAAAATGAAGTTTAAGAATTAGGCATACTTTTAATTTTTTGGTATAACTCTCTTCCTCCTTGCAGTGCAAATGGTAAAGTTTACAGATTGAGGAATTATTTTCCTTTAAGAAAATAAAGATGTTTTATCTTAAAAATCATTATCTAGAATAAGTTTGCAATTACATATAATCGTGTAGTTGCTTGCTCTGTGCCTTTGGCAGGTATCGCTAATCAAAGATAACTTATTTCCACTGTGCTTGCCCTTGACCTTCAAATCCTCCCTATCCCAGCATTCTGGGCAGCCACTGTAAGTCATCATAGTTGGTTAACATATGAGACCTATTTGCCATTCTGGGTCTCAGGACCATCTTCTTTAGGCTAGTTATATACAGAAATCACATTATTGAGAGTTTTAAAAAACTTTTTATATGGAGCTTTCTCTTTAGTTATATAAATTTTCTTTCTTCCTTTTAGGTGATGGAAGCTGTTTTATTGTTCAGCAAGACTTAGACTATGTCATTGAACTCACTGGGGCTGACTGTGACCCTGTCTATAAGGTATAGGTCTGAGAAGAAACTAGGCCTGGATGATTCCCACCTGGGATTTAAAGCTACTAGGGGACTTAATCCAGTACCTTGTGGTCATTAGGGGAGATGAAATACTCTTTATTGTGTAAGCAACATGGTGGGAGGAGAAGAACTCAAGATACTAAGTCAGAAATAATGGCATCACTTACTGGCTTTAGAAAACTAAAAAATTACTTCACCTTCCTAGTTTGTCAATTCATCTATAAAATGAATAATGAGATAATGCATATGAAAGCTCCTTCTAAATATAAAGTAGTCTATAAATATTATCCATTATTATTATTTTTATTAAAAGTTCAAGACTGATTCTCTCATTTGCTTAGGAGTGGAAAGAGAAAAACAAAAGAGGAAATAATATTTATTGACCAGACATTGTGCTGAATTTTATATCTCATCTAATCTTTGTTGCCATTTGTTGCAGTATAGGTATTATTATTCCTATTCTTCTAGTAATTTTAGAAAAACTGCACAAGTAATACTTATAAAAATTCAAATATGTATACAAAATTATACATATTTAAAAGTATCTTTCCTTTTTAGTTCTCCTGTTCTTTTCAGAAGTAAACTAGCATTAACAGTTTGGCGCATATCTTTCAAGCTTGTTTTCAAAGAATTTGCACACACCTTATGTGTTTATATAAATAATATAGTTTTATCTTCAGTTTGTACATAATGAGATTGTTCTGTATATATATTGCTCTGTGACTTTCAATTTTTTAATTTAACATCTTAGAGCTCTGTCCAAGTATATACATACAGATCCATTTTATTTTTTAAAATTTCTGCATAGCGTTCTATATTGTGAATTAATATATTCCCATTTTACAAATGAGGAAACGGGCCCAGATGGACCGAGAAAGTTGCCCCAGCTACTTGGTAGTAAACCTGAGATTAAGTTAACTAGAATTCATGCTATTTTCTTTGAGAAGTTGATGAAATCTTCCTGAGAACAAAAAGCACAAATTCAGACCTTTTGTCTCCAGATTTATGAGAGTCAAGGATACCATCTATGCACCATCTCCTCCCTAGGTGCAAAACCCTCTGTACTAAACTATGAACAACACCATTCTATAGTCACAGGCCAGTGATTTTGTAAGCATTTATCACATATATAATTCTTCTCTTACCTTCGGAGTCAATAAAGCTTTTCAGACTCCCTGGGACAGTAGGGGTCAATGATAAGACTTCATCTTTTTGAAACGGAAGAATCTGAGGCTTCCTTTGAACCATGAATCTTGTGTTGCAGGTAGCCACATGGGAGAAGCAGGTCTACGCATGCTGTCGAGATGGTCTTGTGCGACGCTATCAGCTTTCTGACCTCTGAGCCCTTGGAAAGAGGAGTTCCAGTTAGTGAAAAGGTTTGAGACTGATCAATACTGAGCAGAAACATCATCAGTCCTTCCCAAACACCAGGGCCAGGGCCATTAGTGTCTTGGGCACCCAAGGTGCCACAGAAGTCACAGTTGGCTGGACCATGTGAAACTATCATCCCAAGACCTACATTGAACTGAGTAAGAAGCTCACATGTGCTCACTGCATTTGCCCCAACTTCTCTTTGTGTAAACTCACCCCAGCAACACAACACAAGGATATAGATGCTTCCAGTTTGTTCTTATACCAGTTGTGTTAAATGTTTACAAGGACCAAAGTCTGTTCTCTGGAGAAAATAAAATATGTTTGGAGGTGCCTGAAATTGAAAAACTTTGTTAAATACTCTTTTTCTACCAGAAAGTCAGCCAAGATGATGAACTCCTTCCTCAGTTCTCCCTGTTGGCCTGGCCATAGAGGAGGACTGCTTGGCAGTAAATAATTGTCCTGTAAGTTTCGACCTAGGAAAGAGTCTTATACATGTGGTAAGCAACTATCCCAGTTTTCCTGGAACTGAGGGGGTGTTTGTGACATTGGACTTTCATTGCTAAAATCTAGGGCAGTTCCAGGCAACCAACATGGTCCATCAACCTATATGTAGATGAGGAAGTTGAATAATAACCTTTGTAAAGCCAGCAGCAGTCAAACTATGGTCCCTGAAACAGCTGGATCGGTATCACCTGGAAACTTATCAGAAATAGAAATTCTTGGGCCCAAACCTAGATCTGAATCAGAAATTCTATGGGTGCAACCAACAATCTTAATTTAATTTAATTTTATTTTATTTTATTTTATTTTTAAAGGTATTGGGCACAGACAGGATTAGGTACAAAAGTGAGCATCGTTCAGGTAAAGTTTGGGCCTCCCTTTGGTCCCCACTTTGCCTGGTTTGAGATCAGGCAATATGTTATTGATATTGTATTGCCTCCCACCCTCACCCTCACCCCCAGCAGTGTCAATAATCTGTATTTTAACAAGCATTCCAGGTGATTGTAATGCACACTGAAGTTTAAGAACCACTGACCTAGAAAAAGAGATGGTGAAGGTACTTCAGTCATAGCTGGAACCCGGGACTCATAGGATGGTGTGTCTGTAGAAGATGAGGCTATAGGTTGGGAGGGTCCAAATAGTGAAGGAGTGTAAATGTCAGGTAAGGAGATTGGACATCACTTGGTTGGCAGTGGGAAACCACTGAAGGATTTTTTGTTTTGTTTTGAGTCAGACTCTCACTGTCACCCAGACTGGAGAGCAGTGGGACAATCACAGCTCACCACAGCTTCGACCTTGTGGGTTTAAGTGGTCTTCCACCTCAGTCTCCTGAGTAGCTGGGACTACAGGCATGCCAGCATGCTTGGCTAATTTTTTATTTTTGTAGAGATGAGGTCTTGCTATGTTGCCTAGGTGGGTCTCAAACTCCTGGTCTCAAGCAGTCCTCTCACCTCTGCCTCCCAGCCCCACTGAAGGAATTTATGCATGATCATGTCTTTTTTTCTCTAAACACAAAAATGGAATCATAATGTATGTGTTCCATGGTTTATTTTCACTTTGTGTCTCTGAAATCTTTTTGGTACATTTAGATCTTCCTTGTTCTTTTTAACAGTGTCCAGGGTATGGATAACATATTGTTTATATTTTTGTGATTATTAGACAAAGGTTTCTTGGAGGATGTAACACTCAAACTGGGACATGCAGGCTAAGATTTCAATTTATTTAAGGGAGGAAAGTAATTCTTGGCTGGGGTAAAAATATGATTGACAAGCCGGGCTTGGTAGCTCAGCCTGTAATCCCACGCCTTTGGGAGGCTGAAGTGAGTGGACTGCCTGAGCCCGCAGGTTCGAGACGCGCCTGGGCAGTGAGACCTCATCTCTACAATAAATCAAAAAATCATCTGGGCAGGGTAGCGCATGCCTGTAATTCCGGCTACTTGGAAGGCTGAGGTGGAAGGATCGCCGGCGCCCAGAAGGTCGAGGCTGTGGTGACCGGGAGCGGCCACTGCACTCCAGTCTGGGCGACAGAGTGAGACTCCAACTCAAAAAAAAAAAAAAAATAATATGATCGACAAAGTTCTTAAAGGTATCTTCCCGTGTAATTCTTGTAACTATAGTAAGACACGTAGGTACTGAAGAAGAAGTGATTTGCAAAGGATCATAGAGAGCAGCAACCTTAACTTTAAATCCTGTTTTTTTCCTACAACATCCTGTTGCTTATGTATAAACCAAAGCGTAAAAATAAAATAATGCTTCGTGACCCGCCTGGGCAACTTGGCGAAACCTCATCTCTGCAATAAATCAAAAATTAGCCAGGCGTGGTAGCGCGTGCCTGTAGTTCCAGCTACTTGGATGGCTGAGGTGGAAGGATCACCGGAGACCAGCAGGTCGAGGCTGCAGTGGCCAGGAGCGGCCACTGCACTCCAGTCTGGCGACAGAGTGAGACTCCAACTCAAAAAATAAAATAAAATAAAATACCACAATTCATTGAGTATCTACTCTGTTCTAGGTACTATATTTACATATTTCATCCTCAAAATACTCTTAAGAAGTGAATGTTACTATTCCTGTTTTATTTATATAAGGAAACTATGGCTCAAGAAATTAAATACCAGAGCCTTGATTTGAACCTTGGCCAATCTCCAAAGCCTGTGCTCATTCTGCTACACCATCACAGGTAGCAAGAGACCTTTGTAATGAGAGCAATTTCATTTCAGGGAGTAATTGTGATAGGGTCAGGAAGACCGGAAGGAATATATTCCAGAGCTTAGAAACACTGACTCCTAGGAGGTCCAGATGGAACATCTAAGAAGTCAGTTTAAGAAAACAAGGCGTAGCCGGGCTCGGTGGCTCAGCCTGTAATCCCGCGCCTTTGGGAGGCTGAGGTGAGTGGATTGCCTGAGCCCGTGGGTTCGAGACTCGCCTGGGCAGCGAGATCTCATCTCTACAATAAATCAAAAAATCAGCCGGGCGTGGTAGCACATGCCTGTAATTCCGGCTACTTGGAAGACTGAGGCGGAAGGATCGCCGGCGCCCAGCAGGTCGAGGCTGCGGTGGCCGGGAGCGGCCACTGCACTCCAGTCTGGGCAACAGAGTGAGACTCCAACTCAAAAAAAAAAAAACAAGGCCAGGCTTGGTAGCTCAGCCTGTAATCCCGCACTTTGGGAGGTGGAGGTGAGTGGATTGGCTGAGCCCGCAGGTTCGAGACCAGCCTGGGCAACTTGGTGAGACCTCATCTCTATAAAAAACCAAAAAATTAGCTGGGCATGATAACGTGCACCTGTAGTTCTGGCTACTTGAAAGGCTGAGGCAGAAGGATCACTGGAGCCCAGCAGGTTGACACTGGGGTGGCTGTGAGCATGTGTGCCCCTGCACTCCAGCCTGGGTGACGGAGTGAGACTCCAAGTCAAAAAAAAAAAGGAAAATAGGGGGAGAGGGGTTAGGGTTCCGAAACTACCTACTGGGCACAGTGTTCATTATCAGGCTACTTGAGACCCAATCCCCATCACTACACAATATATCTATGTAATGAATATACATGTGTACCCCCTGAATCTAAATTTAAAATGAAAACAAGATGAGATATTGTCACTTAATGAGGAATCTAAAACATTTGAAGACTGTTCTGATGCTTCTATGAGAATGCTTCTCATAGAAGCAGAGAATAGAAAATAAAGTGGAAGGTATCACACTCCCAGACTTTAAACTTTATTATAAAGCTACAATAATCAAAACAGCCTGGTATTGGTACAAGAACAGGCATATAGACCAATGGAACAGGATTGAGATTCCAGAAGCAAAACCTCAATTTCTCAACCAACTCATCTTCGACAAAACCTCCACCACCAACCACTGGGGAGAGAAGAACCTGTTCAGTAAATAGTGCTGGGAAAACTGGCTGACCATGTGCAGATTAAAACAAGACCCCTACCTATCCCCATACATAAAAATCAACTCTAAATGGATCAAAGACCTAAATGTAAAACCTCAAACTATAAGAACCTTAGAAAGTCCAGGAGACACCCTTATGAAAATTGGAACAGGCAACCAATTCTTGATCAAAACCCCAAGTGCCCACGCCATAAGATCTAAGATAGACAAGTGGGACCCTATCAAACTGACAAGCTTCTGCAAAGCCAAAGAATCCATTAAGAGAGCAGGGAGACAGCCCACAGACTGGGAAAAAAGATTTGCCACTGTATGTCTGACAAAGGCCTAATATCTAGGATCTATAAGAAACTCAAATGTGCTGAAAAGAAAACAAACAGCCCCATTACAAAGTGGGCAAAAGATATGAATAGACACCTCTCAAAAGAAGACATACGAGCAGCCAACAGATACATGAGAAAACACTCAGCCTCACTAGTCATCAAAGAAATGCATATTAAAACCACACTGAGATACCACCTAACTCCAGTCAGGATGGCCATCATCAATAACAAAAAATAACAGATGCTGGAGAGGATGTGGCAAAAAGGGAACACTTCTACTCTGTTGGTAGGAGTGTAAACTAGTTACAACCTCTGTGGAAAACAGTGTGACGATTTCTAAAATATCTAAAAATCGACCTTCCATATGACCCCGCTACCCTCCTACTGGGAATATACCCAGAAGAACTCAATCACTCTATCAAAAAGATACCTGCACATGTATGTTAATCGCAACATTGTTTACAGTAGTAAGAATATGAAACCAACCGTGCTGCCCATCAAAAGAGGACTGGATGAAAAAATGTGGTACATATACATGATGGAATATTATGCAGCTATAAAGAAGAAAAAAATCATGAACTTCACAGCAACCTGGATGGACTTAGAGTCTATAATACTGAGTGATCTTTCACAGAAACAAAGAACTGAGTATCCCATGTTCTCAACTCGAGCAGACCTTGAACAATTAATCATAATACTATAAGAAAAGGATTGCTGGGCTCGGTGGCTCAGCCTGTAATCCCGCGCCTTTGGGAGGCTGAGGTGACTGGATTGCCTGAGCCCGCGGATTCGAGACCCGCCTGGGCAGCGAGACCTCATCTCTACAATAAATCAAAAAATCAGCCAGGTGTGGTAGCGCGCGCCTGTAATTCCAGCTACTCGGAAGGCTGAGACAGAAGGATCGCCGGAGCCCAGCAGGTCGAGGCTGCGGTGGCCGGGAGCAGCCACTGCACTCCAGTCTGGGCGACAGAGTGAGACTCCAAATCAAAAAAAAAAAAAAAGAAAAGAAAAGGATTGACAGTAGTGGGAAACTGCTGGTGGGGGGTTGAGGGTTGGATTGGCAGTAGTGGGAATCTGCCAAGGGAGGGGGGTACACCTCATCAGCAAGGGTCCCTGCATAATGAACATTTGTATA